CCCACCACTGCCGGCCTGCCTGCCCGCCTGCCTGCCCGCAGTGTCTCCACGGCAGGCAGACATGGGACGGATCTCCATGGCCACTTCCCAGGGGGCCCCGCCCTTATAACTTCCTATATCACAAAGTTCTTCCTATGGGGAGTTAGGGCTGCAATATTGGGATTAAGGAGATATGAGGAATCAGCCTGTAGCAGCCATCTGCTTAGCAGGCATGGCTGTTGAAAACAGGGGCTCCCATGCAGGGGACATGAGGCCTGGGTATATGGTTGATTGTTGGGGGTCATGGTGCTGCTGGCCTCATGGGGGAGGCTGATAAACATTGTAGGGTACCCAGGATAGCCCCTTGCTCACAGAAAGTTACCAGCTCCAAGTATCAATTGTGGCAAAGTTGAGGAAACCCCGAGTGAGGTCCCACAGGAGAGACGAAGGGACCCCAAAGTCAGAAACCCCAAATTCAGGGTCCTCCAGGTAGCCTCTGGTTTCTCTGCAGGTCCCTGCTGTAGCAACATGCACTTTGTCCGGTTCATTTCTCTGCCTTTGTGAGCTACAAACACCGTTCAATCCCTGTGGCTTATCAGGATATCCCCACCAGGCACCCACCCCCTCATGGGTTTTGTTTTCAAACAAGTCCCCGTTCCTTGCAGCCCCAGAGAAAGCCGAGTTGACATTCCCTGAACTCGCTTTGTAAAAGTGCCAAGTCTAATCTCCAGGCGTGGGCGCCCTGGTGGAAGTCAGGATGGACGAGAACCGTTGCAGCCGGTGGGGGTGGCTGTGAGCCGCACGGGCTGCGCGGCTCAAGGCAAGCTAGTTCTTGCTAATGCCACTCACAGCAGACAAATTTCCAGAATTCTTCATCTGGAGAGGGATGCGGTGGGAGCTTGACCTCCGCCCCGGCTTTGACGCTGCCTTCTTTCGCGTCGCCCCACGTCTTCTGTTTCTCGCGACGTCTCTGGCTGGCGTAGGATGGGATGGGAGGTGGCTGGACTGACTTCACCCCACTTCACTGAAGAAACTGGAGTCTACCAGGGTACCCCATCATTGTGTCTCAAAGCATTCCAGCTTTAGTCACATGCACGTAGCAGGCTGTGAAACAGCTGCAGGTATGGCTTCTTAAGAGACGGGGGTGTTGTGGCACGGCACGTCAAGCTGCTGGTTGCAACCTCAGAATCCCGTGTGAGCACTAGTAGGAGTCCAGCTGCTCCTCTTCTCATCCAGCAATCTTCACCTGGGAGGGCAGCTGCTGGGGACCCAAGGAGCCCCTGCCACCATGTGGGAGACCAGGATGGAGTTCCTGGACCCTGCCTCTGGTCTGGCTGTGATTTAAAGAGTGAACCACTAGATGCAAAATCCTTCTCCCTTCTCTTCCTCTCCCTCCCCCTGCCTCTCACATTGATCAGACAGCTGATCATTTAAAACAAGAGAAGCCGTCTCCAGCTTGGACATGGCTCGGGCATGGCTACCGAAGCCTGGTCCAACTTACCTCCGGCGTCTTTAAAGCAAATGCTGATTCAAGGAGAGCAAGGAGCCAGGAGTCTGGTTGCTAGGCAACAGTTCCCATGGGGCAGACAGCTTGGTAATTGGGATGTGGATTAGCTGAGTGGGGCCAGGACAGAAGGCAGGGGGAAGCCTATAGGCTTGTCCCCCATCTTCTGTTGGGGAGCTGGGGAAGGAAAGGCCCGACGGGGTCCAGGGCTGCTTTGGCAGCATGAAATGCAGCTCACCAACAAGTGTGAAGAAGGCAACTTGACTTTGAGAGACACCGGAAGAGGATGGAGTCGGCTCTCTGATAAAGCAGGTAGCACTGGTGGAGAGAGCCAGGGTGAGTTATGCTGAGAGCCACAGAGGAAGCCAAAATGAGCCAAGATGGTAGTGGCTGAGCTCAGGGTGCCTCACAACCGAAGGACCAGTGCCAGACTCCAGAGCCGGATGCCCGGGCTGCACTCCTAACCTGGCCACTATAGGCTGTGTCATCAAAGGACACTATAGCAGTTGCTGGGCCCCAGTCTTCCCATCTGTAAAATGGGCCTCCTAATCATACCTGCCTCAACAGGGTGCTGTGAGAAGTAAGGGTCAGCATGCATGTGTGCCCAGGACAGGGTCTGCCTGACATGAGGGGTGTATGGCAGATGCCAGTGGCGCTGGGAGCATGCGTGGACGGGTTCACCGTGTCGGAGTGTAGTTCAGGAGGGATAGGTTGTACTCAGTAACGAACAGTCCAGTGGCTTGACAAAACACCTGTTTATTTTTTATTTAGAATTTTGTCAAAAATTACTTATTGCAGAGATGGAGAGAAATAAATGCATTCCCATTCACCTGTTCATTTCTCAGATATCCACAGGGACTGGGAGCTGGCAATTCCATCCAGGTTTCCCACGTGGGTTGCAGGTGACCAGTCATAGTCACCTCCCCAGGTCCACTCTGGTGGGACATGGGTGTCGGGGCCTCCCCAGGTCCGTACTGGTGGGACATGGGTGTCGGGGCCTCCCCAGGTCCGTACTGGTGGGACATGGGTGTCGGGGCCTCCCCAGGTCCGTACTGGTGGGACATGGGTGTCGGGGCCTCCCCAGGTCCGTACTGGTGGGACATGGGTGTCGGGGCCTCCCCAGGTCCGTACTGGTGGGACATGGGTGTCGGGGCCTCCCCAGGTCCACTCTGGTGGGACATGGGCGTCGGGGCCTCCCCAGGTCCGTACTGGTGGGACATGGGTGTCGGGGCCTCCCCAGGTCCACTCTGGTGGGACACGGGCGTCGGGGCCTCCCCAGGTCCGCATTGGTGGGGCACGGGCGTCGGGGCCTCCCCTGGTCCACACTGGTGGGGCACAGGTTTTGGGGTGGGAGCTGAGAAGTGAACCCAGACAACTACCCCTGCTGGGTGGGCCGGGCGCTCGCCTCTTCTACACACGTCTGTGGGGTCGCTCTGTGTCCAGCAAGGGCCGGTGAGGGGTCAGGGACTGCCTGGCTGCCATGTGCTTGGAGGCCTTGGCTATTGGGGGCTTCCTCGCAGCCCAGGCCCGTGTCTGCTCACACTATCTTCAGTTGTTTACGCCTCTGTTCCTGGCCATGCTGTCTCCCAGATGTCTACCTTCTTGTCTGCCTGGGACGTTCTCGTGGGCATTTAGAGCTCCGTGAGATGGTCACCCCCACTCCCACCTCCCCAGAGACTGGTCATCCTTCCTCCCCAAAGTTTCATGGCAGGCTTTGTCTATAGATACCTTAGCAGGTATCTAAAAGCACTGGCTGCTGAAGAATGTTAGTGGCCTTCTATGCCCTGTTGATTGCCAACCCCTTGGCACAGGTGAAGTGCTCAGTGGATGTTTGTTGAGTGAATGTGCAAGCATACATGCTGCTGTTTCTCTCTCATCAGGCAACCCTCCCTTGGGACTTCTGGGAGTAGATGGAGGACAGAGCAATTCTCAGAGCTCCCCACTTCCCTGGGCACCCCCAAAATAGAGCAGCTCACGGATTGGGGAACAGCCATTAGGAGGTGTCTCCAAGTTGCTCTAACCATTGCACTAGTAGCTCCGTCCTCACCCTCAGGGGACTGTCAGCATCCGTCCCTCTCCCGTGAAGGCACCCAGAGGAAGAAGGCATCATCTTTCTGCATCACCATCCCCTGCACGCCAGCAGCCTCCCCCTACTCTCCATTATTCAGGCATGGGGCAGCCATGGGGCAGGTCCCTGGAGTCACACTGCTGGTGTTGGAGTCCAGGGTTGGCCAGGTCCTCACTGTGCAGTTCTAGGCCAGTTATGTGACATCTCTGGTCCCCCATCTGTGAAGTCGGGAGGCTCTGAGGCTGCATCCCAGCAAGCTGTTGGAAGGCGTCTGTAAGTTGAGCCACACTGGGGACTGAGAGCACTCCTGGCCTGCTAGGTATTCTGGGCCATGTCACCTGCCATTGCTCTTGTCAAGTTCTGACCCTGTACCCTTGGCTATGGTCTCTGTCTAGCCGGGAGGGTGTGGTGCTGCCTCTTCTGTCACTCTCCGGTGAATTCGTACTGGCAGCAGCAGTCATGGGAGGGGAAAAGTCCCAGAGCTTTCGGCCGATGACGACTTGTGTGGCATTGAGTCACCTAGTGAAAATGGGAGGTGGGTGTTGGACCCAGCCACTGAAGTTGCCACCTGGGGCGTGTATGTGCCAGCCATATCACAGTGTCTGGTTGGAATCCTGGCTTCCCAGTTTCCAACCCAGCTTCCTGCTCATGCACACCCTGGGAGACTTGTGTCTCTGCCACCCAAGCCACCAGTATGGGGGTCCCAGATGGAGTTCTGGCCTCCTGGCTTCGGCCTAACCCAGCCCTGGCTGTTGTGGGTACTGGAGGGGAACAAGCCAACAGATGGAAGACATCCGTCTTTCTCTTTCTGCTTTTCAAATAAAGTAAATAATGAAACAAACTTCAGAGTTGGGGTCCCTGCTCTGTACCTGCCCAAGCTGACCCTCCAGGTGAGTGCCTGGCCAGCTGCACTGGACAGAGCCCACAGCTGGTCCTCACACTCAGGGAGCTTCCCCAGTCCCCAGCCAAGTTGCGAAGCAGCAGGTGCTCCTTGGAGGCCACGTGCAGCTTTGTCCTCACTGGCTGCAGGCCTCCAGGGAAAACCTCTAGAGGGCAGCTGGTTTCCTGTAGTGTCCCGCAGACCCTGTGCTTGTTTCTGCCCCAGGGTAGGGCAGGGCAGAGAGAAGGATGGTGTGTGGCTAGAGATGGCAGCCTCTGGGTGGCACCATCCCTGCTCGCTCACTGTGTGTCCCCATAAGCCCCTCCCATGGTGCCTTGTAACCCAGCTTTGCATCCTGAGCCTTAAACCTGTGTGTTGCTCCTCCATCTGTACCACCCCTCTCCCCCATGTCATTCATGGTCACAAATGGCAGGCTCTAACAGTGAGATTATACATCAACTTTTCCCTGCAGCTACTGAAACAAGCAGGGGAGGGGAGGTGGCTGCTGCTGTTCTGGCTATGCCAGGCCATCCCTAAACTTCTCTGTCGTTCCACCTGCCTCTCCACAGGTTTGGATGCCATCCAGTGCTCCCTGCCCATGGAGAATCGGAGGGTGTCACTGCGCGAGCTGTCGGAAGCCAGCTTCAGCGAGTGCAAGTTCAGCCTGTCGCTCACCGACCTGTTCATCATCATCTTCTCGGGCGTGGCCGTCTCCGTTGCCGCCATCATCTCCAGCTTCTTCCTGGCCACGGTGGTGCAGTGTTTCCAGAGGTGTGCCCCCAACAAAGATGCGGAGGACGACGAGGAGGACGAAGACGACTGAGCCGCCTCCCCCGCTGGCCTCGCAGGCCAGCGCCAAACCAGTTGCTCCTCTCCAAGAAGAGAGGCGTCTGCTACAAACATGAAAGCCTCCACCGCTGTGCACTGGGTGGGGGACCAGAACACAGCGTCTGCATGGTGGGCACACTGGATGCCCCCTGGCGGAAGTGGGGATCGCCTATGACAGAGATCCAAAGCAGCAGCTCAGAGGAGCCAGGGGAAGTGTCCAGGGGGATGGCATGTGTAGCAGAGCCTGGTGAGGTGTGTGTATGAGTCAGGCTTCCCAGAGGACAGCCAGGAGCCTCTCATGGAAATGTGTGAGCTCACAGAGACCCTGGACCACACAAGTGACTTCGTGCTGACTTAAGATGCCCGGTGCAGGAGGAGGAGTGGGCAGGGGGCGCAGTGACCGGAAACATCCTCCCTCCACTTCCTTCAGGAAGCAGCAGCACTGGTGGCGGAGACAGCTCGGTCACTGTCAGTGAGGGCAAGAGCTCTTCTGGGGGTGTCTCGGGGTCGCCCTCACTGCCCCAGTTCAGGCCGTCCCCGGGGATGCGTGAACTTGAGTGCGGGGGCGGCATTGTGCCCTGCCCCTACTGGAACTCTGTCCTGGGTGTGAGTGGGTCTTGAGAGTGGAGTGCGAGAAGAGTCCTGGATTGCTCTGTGGCCCCTCCTGCTGCGGAGGGTGTGGTGAGAAACCGGTCATCTGTGAAGCAGACACAGACCCTGACCAGAGCCCAGCTATGCTGGCCCCTGGTGTCCATCTGTCAGCCTGCAGAAGTGGGGAGAATAAATGTCGACTGTGGAGAAGTCATCCAGTGTCTGGTGCAGTCTGTGGCAGCCAAGCAGACCAAGAACCTTGTTTAGCTAAAATGGTGACGAATGGCCGGAGGGTGTGTGCTGTTGTGTGATGGTGAAGGGGTGGATGTTGTTACACTTATTCCTCATCTTAAGGATTGGCTGCTGTAGAGGAGGGGCGGTGGTGTGGTCCAAGTGTGGGGTCATGTCACTCAGACCCGCTTTTCCCTGTGAAGCAACATTGGGGGTATCCATCGCACCCACCCCTTCCTGAGTCCCTCGTCACCCATACGACGCTCTAAGCTGGCAACAGTTTCAGATGCAGCGTCTCCAGGACTTGAGGTCAGCTTTCCTGGTGGCCAGAATTCCAACAATCAGGTTGCTCCAGAACAGCCAAATCATCCCCAACCCCCAAAACAGCCACAAACAACTGGGCCGTGGCCGGAGGGTGTGCGTGACCTGCCTTTGTAGCCAACACTGTGAGCTGCAGTGGTTCCTGGGGTGTGGAGCACAGCATCCTGGCTCAGGACAATGTGAAACATGCAAGTCACGCTCCAGCCAGTTAATGCAAGGTGACTTGTGTTGGCAGCGTTGGCCCAGGCTGGGGCTGAGATGGGGACAAAAGGGGATCCTAGGAAGCTTCTGAGATCCTGGGAGGGGGATAGCCATTATTTCTTGTAAGAATATTCTTTCGGTTTCCTTCTCCCATTGAGCACATACTCCCTTGATCATTCCCAAGTGCTTACTCAGGACCCAGGTCCTGATCCAGGCACCCTGCACTGGAGTTCAGAGATAGGGCTCGTGTATCCCCAGAACATTCCTTCCTAATGGATAAAAGCCATTGCTTGCAGCTGGTGGCCAGCTCTATAAGGGAGTGAAAGAGGACCCACGACGGGCAGTAACCCTGGGAGCTGCTCCAGTGGGGTCAAGGCGGGGGGTGTCCAGGCTGTGCTGCAAAACAGAACCAAAGGAAGGAGGTAAGGAGATGGACTGTGAGGAGTTGACGCATGCAATTGTGGAGGCTGAGAAGTCCCAGGATCTGTTGTGGGCATGCTAGAGCAGGAGACCCCGCTCCCAAGGGTGCAGTCCGAGGCCACAGAGATCCCACTCCACGCTTTTGTCGCATTCGGGTTCCCCTGCATTGGATGACGCCCAAGGCATGGGAGAAGGCCATCTGCTTTACTCAGTTTACCCATGCTAACGCCATCCCCAAACCACCAGCAGACACACCCAGAAATCACACTGGTCAAATGACGGGGCAGCTCGGCTATTTGACATGTGCAATCACCAAGATCTCCCCTAACAACCTTGGACTGGGAGCTGTCCACGCTGGGTCCTGCCTCCCCCTTTTCTCACTTCCTGTTCCCTTCCTCCCACTCTCTTTCTCTGCTCTTTTTGCTCTCTCAACTTTGAAGAGGCTCTAGTTCACTCCTTCTGTTCCTGGAAGAATGAACTCCAGTGAAGGAGACCTCTGGCTCCCAGGGGGCTGTCTTTTCACAGAGTCCTAAGCAAGTAGAGCCTGGGCAGGTGGAGGCCTGGGCAGGTAGAAGGCCAGGCAGGTAAAGGCCTGGGCAGGTGGAGGCCTGGGCAGGTAGAGGGCCAGGCAGGTGGAGGCCTGGGCAGGTAGAAGGCCAGGCAGGTAAAGGCCTGGGCAGGTAGAGGCCTGGGCAGGTAGAGGGCCAGGCAGGTGGAGGCCTGGGCAGGTGGAGGCCTGGGCATGTGGAGGCCTGGGCATGTGGAGGCCTGGGCAGTTAGAGGGCCAGGCAGGTGGAGGCCTGGGCATGTGGAGGCCTGGGCAGGTAGAGGGCCAGGCAGGTGGAGGCCTGGGCATGTGGAGGCCTGGGCAGGTGGAGGCCTGGGCAGGTGGAGGCCTGGGCAGGTAAAGGCCTGGGCATGTGGAGGCCTGGGCAGGTGGAGGTCTGGGCATGTGGAGGCCTGGGCATGTGGAGGCCTGGGCATGTGGAGGCCTGGGCAGGTGGAGGCCTGGGCATGTGGAGGCCTGGGCAGGTGGAGGCCTGGGCAGGTAGAGGGCCAGGCAGGTGGAGGCCTGGGCAGGTGGAGGCCTGGGCAGGTGGAGGGCCAGGCAGGTGGAGGCCTGGGCAGGTGGAGGCCTGGGCAGGTGGAGGCCTGGGCAGGTGGAGGTCTGGAGAAGAGAAGGCATGAGCAGCATCTTCTCAGGTTTCATGGCAGCTTCAGCACCTGAGGAAGTCGTCTGTGGGGGCCTTGAGCCCTGTCCTGGCCCTCTGGGCAGGTATAACTTGGCTTCTTTGGAGAAACAATCCAGATGGCGGGACTAGTCCTGCACCAGTCACTTGAGTCCCTGTTTAAAGGCCCTAGCCATCACTGGTACCTGAATATGAATGGAGCTTCCTGGGGAACACAGGGCCATAGGAGAGAAGATTCCAGAAGAGATCCCCGAAGGCTACCCAAAGGGGTCAGGAGCTGGGAGTTAGGGACACAAACTCTCATCTCAACACCTCCCCAGCCACCTGCTAGTCCCACCTGTGCATTCAGCCAGGACCTGTGTGGGGTCATCTACTCCCCAACCCCAGCGGTAGCACCCCATCAGGACCCAAAAGCCTGCTGGGTCCTGCCAGAACTAAGGTGTTTCTCCCAGAATCCGCAGGAGATGGCACCCAGCTGTGGAATTAGCACTAGCCCTTTGTTCTAGGGGATTCTGGTCAACCGGTTCTCTGCATGAAGCTGTCAGGCTACAGCAAGTGAGCGAGACTGTTTCCCCAGAAGCCACCAGCCCCGCGCAGTGCAGGGGCCGGCTGTCACTCAGAACGGATTTGTGGGCTGGAGAAAGGCAATCATTTCTGCCCACTGCACTCGAGTTCTGGAAGGAACGTGATTCTGGGGAAGCAGATCTTTGAAATATTGCTGTTTGAAGCAGCCGTTTCCTGCCTGCATATAAAATTTCCTTGAAATACTGGAGTTGTGGGGCATACAGGGGGGCATCTGCACTCAGACTCAAGAAAATATATGGGCCAGGAGCCACAGCTCAGCTGGGGAAGTGCCTGCCGTGCGTGACATTGCATACATGATGGACAAAGATGACTTGCCCCAGGGCTCCGGTGGTCAACCATGGTGACAATGCAACCTGTAGGTTGTCATGATAAACCGTGGTGACAGAGGGCCTCTTCTGTACCAGGGATGCTCCCCGCGCTTCTGCATCTTCATGGGGTTGCTTGGCTACCAGGTCAGATGTCCCCTCCCAGAATCCATCTCATAGCACTCTCTCCTGTGATTTTTGGCATAGCATGGCCATGATCTGACATGTCTTGTGTGGACTGGATTTGGACGCCCCAAGGTCGGGAACTTGGGCTGCGATGTCCCCAGCATGGCACAGCCAGTGTAACACGTTGGCTAAATGAGCCAACCAATGAATTCCAGGCCCTAGTTCAGCTTCGCCACAACCAAGACTCAGAGAGGGTAAGTGGGGTGCCAAAGGGGCAGCACCAGACAGCCTTGCCACGTCAGGCTCTAAGTTGTGGTGCTCTTGGTCCACAACTTCAATGCCTTCCCCTAAGCCACTTGCACACCTGCAAGGCAGGTGCTGTTGATACCGCCTGTCTGTAGTTCTGTCACCTCCACTTGGTGACAGCGGGCCTGGAAGTTAGCTGCCTGCTGGGACCCAGCTAGACAGTGACAGGACAGAGTTGGGCCACAGGTGCTCTAACCACTGCCCTGCACCACCTCTCTAGACTCCCAGCAGGAGCAGGCCCGGCAGGGAAAGCATGGAGTGACCCATCTATGGGGGCTGTGAGCTGTGCACCTGGAGAATTAGCCTGGGGATGTCAGGTGCATATTCAGAACTCCCTACGCCAATAGTCCTGAGCTAGGCTGAGGCCTTTTTCTCAGCAGCCGCCCTCCCAGGACAGCCTCGGAGTGGCCAGATGGGAAGTGTTGCCTGGGAGTGCAGCACAGCATGGGATCCCACAGCGTGGGATGGCCACATAGAGGTGCCCCAAGCCCTGGAGTTGCAGCAAGCAGCTGCAAGCAGAAACAGCAGGGCAGCAAGCTAATTTGCAGGACTCCAAGGACTTGTCACTGACCCATGTGGCTAGGAAGGCAATCGTGCCGCGGTAGCCGGATGCAACCTTGCCTTAGTAGTTGATCTTTTGTGTTCTAATGCAGGTGCACACAGGTAGTGCACCTGGCTTCACAGGTGAGCCTGGGTGCACAGCAGGGCTCAAAGGGCAGCCATGTGCCTGGGGA